ACGTAGATTACTTTTTGATACAGGAACTGTATTTAAATTTTAAAAAGTGAGACTAGAAGTGATATTAAGCTCGAACAATGACCCTGTACCTATTCAAGAAAGCAACCCACTTGTTAAAAACATCATTCATTGAAGCTCCATGCAAACTCTATCTTTACTAACCTTCATTTTTCGGCTATTATCAGTTACACTTGTACTGCTTGAAGATAGTTCTCAAATCTCAAAATCTTTTATCATTTCTATGTTCTCTATAACTTTTTTTTGAAACTTGTTTTTTATTTTCATGCTATTCTTCTTTACGCATATTTCGATCATAGCTAACATTCATTTCCTCCCGCCTATGATTCTTTCATGATAAGATTTGTCTTTTCCAGTGTCAACTTCACCATTTCATCTTTAAATAGTCTCTTCAGAAACTCAATATCTTCTGTCTTTGCTTGCTTGTCTCTATTTTCATCATCAGTTTTAAAATGATTGTTTTATAAACCAGAAAAAGTTTGCTTTCTTGATAAAACTCTCTGTTTTAAATTGATCTTCTTTGATCTTTTTTATTTTCATGTGTTCTAAGGCTACACTTATGAAAATAAACTATTTTGTAGCGCTCATAAAATTTCTCAACCTTCTCCTTCATTACTTTGCTCTGTAACCCAAAATCTTGAATCAAACTCACCCTTGTCCCAAAGACTTAACAGTTCTCTTAGAATGCACACTTTAGTAAATTCTTTTTTCTTTTCTTACACTCCCCTTCAATACAAAGCATAGACCATAACCTTGTCATTTGTGCACAGGAAAGTTTGCATTTTGATTGTTCTTACCTGATCTGAACCTGATATTTCATGACAAACTACTCCCAGTGTGATTTGTCTAGACTAAAATAAAATGAAAAGAAAGAGTTTTTACATATTTGTTTCAAAACACAGCTGCTATTAACATTATGTTTTATACCTATAAAAAGCTTTTCCAATTAATTACTTTAATTAAATCTTTGAAATAATATCTATTTGGTGCAAACATATGTAGCGGATGCTGAACTAAGTAAAGTGTTCTTTTACACCTATTAGTTCTCTGTGAAGCTGAACTTCTGTTGCAAGATGTACCTGCGGTTCCTTGTTGAAAATCCCTTAACATCCTAGAAAAGATATTTCTGATTGGAGGAGGACTTCAGCAACATAAAGTAACCAAGGAACTCTCCTCTTTTTTCTCTCTTACAGCAGTCAGAACTTTTCTAGTCCTTGAAGATTTATGAAGAAACCCATCATCATCGCCAGCCATTATATATTATAGTTAATTTGGTAGATCTGAAAAGTACAAAATCAAAAAGCCAGATTTTATATAAAAGCAATTATTTGAATCAACAATGACAACATATTTTAATCTAGATTTTTAAAACTGACTTTTTTGTTTTTAATTTCAATTTTTACAATGATAGAGATTCAGTGCGTTTGATTTTTTTTTTGACAGGACAAAAGCGGGACCTCCTAATATTCATATATATATATATATATATATATATATATATATATATATATATATATATATATATATATATATATATATATATATATCTGTGTGTTAAAATATGGTAGTGGTGTAGTGGTAGAGCCCTCAACTCATAAGCAAGAAGTTACAAGTTCGATTCCCACCCTGTCCCTGGTAGTACCACGCTTAACTTGTTTCTCCGCGCAGTGGCCTTGTTTGTCAAGATTTATGTTTTGGAATTAGAGACTTGTAACCACAAAAGTAGCCTCCTCGACTGTAGTGGCCTTCTCGGCCTTGGGGAGGTGAATAATTAAAAAATATATAAATATATATATATAAATTAGTGAAAAAAACACTAAACTAAGGGTCTATTTTCAGCATCTTTTTTAGCAGTATCATAATGAAGCAAAAACTTAACTTCGTGATGAAGGATAAACTGACAGTAGAAGCTCAAGTTAAATAAGTGTTTTTATGTACTAGTTTACTACTACTCTGTTCTATAATATATATAAACACACACACATATATATATAACACACTTTTATACATATATATATATATATATATAATAACATATATATAAACACATATATATATATAAGCATATATATATATAAGCATATATATATATATATATATATATATATATATATATATATATATATATATATATATATATATAAACACACACAAAACACACAGACACACAGAAAACACACAGATATATATATATATATATATATATATATATATATATATATATATATATATATATATATATATACATATATATTTAAACACACACACACACACACACACACACACACACACACACACACACACACACACACATATATATATATATTATATATTATTGCCAACCTTAATAGTTTTAATAGTAGTGTCGATTGGAGCGTATTTGACACGAAACTCTTGGCAGCCATCGCAACCGAGGTATTGGCAAGAAAGAGTCTCACCTTTGCTTTATAAGAAAACGTGAGCGAACGAGAAACTTATATCA